GATTTCGTACTCACCGTTGTTACGGGGTTCACATCAATTATTCCCTTGAAGAGTGTAATAGAGCTAGACACATTATTATGTTTGGCAAAAAGTAGTTGAAGAAATTAATAAGAGTTTTAAATCTCATAAAATACGTAATTTAAATTAATTAATGACTTTGAACTCAACTTTTTAAATTTTTCTAAACAGCAAATAATATTTTTCTAAAATGAATGAGGTCTTCAATCTGAAGTTGAATTTACTTCTGATTTGGACTCAATTTCCTATTAACTCACTTTTTGAGAAACTAGAACTTAAATAAAAGAGAACTGCTACATGTATACCATGCTTGTACGTCATGGTGTACAGCAAACAACCGAATTATTTCCATTGTTTTCAAAATCCTCAAACCGAATTTTTTGCACAAGTGCGACGCTTTTTGCAAAAAGATTCAAAGGTTGAGAAACTAATAACTTAAATGCTTTTGGAATCAAATATTTAAAAAAAATACTATAATTAATTCTATCAATAAAAGAATTTTTTGTTGATCCTATTTTTATTTCTTTTCTTTTCCATAGAAATATTGAATAAAAAGGGATTTAGCGTATATTTAATATTTACATATGTAATGGCCAATAATATTTCCTCTCCTTATTTCACAAAAGAGTTTACTAGTAGATTAGTCCCTGTTTGATGATTATTATTTAAAAACTCTTTCATTCTTATACTTTTAACCACACATTTACACAATAAAATATTTTATAGACAAAAACAAAAATTTTTCTTAATATTTAATCACACATTTTTCAAAAATTCACTATTCAAAACTCTATTTTCTTAAACGACTTGACCAACCCACAATTTTATATTGGTCGTGGGCCTCCCTTCTTGTGAGAGGTCTATGCACCGGGATGTGAACTTCGATGTACATATAACAAAACGCTTTCTCAAAATACCAAAAATCACTTATGTAGAATCCTCTGGGTACATTTTTTTATTCTCCTCCGTAGGTTTCAATTTTAGGGCTATTTCTGCATACAGTTTCAAAACTAATTAATATATTATATAATCCAACAGTAGAGACCAATAGTCCATTGTCGTCCAGCGGTTAGGATATCTGGCTTTCACCCAGGGGACCCGGGTTCGATTCCCGGCAATGGAAATTACTTTGATCAGTACTTTATTGAGGATTAATCAGCAAGTCATCCATTGTCGTCCAGCGGTTAGGATATCTGGCTTTCATCCAGGAGACCCGGGTTCGATTCCCGGCAATGGAACCTTTTTATTTTCGGTCATAAATAAATGGTATCTTTTGGTGGGTAAAAGGTTTGAAAAATTCAGTTCATAAGCAGGGCGTGTAACGCAGGGACAGAAATGGTTCGACGGGCCTGCATTTTTTGATTACAACAAAACTATAAATTGCTCATTGCTCCCCTAGGATCGACTCAACTTGACTCATGTAGTCCACAAGAGCATAATGGGCAAGTCGAGCCCATTTTTCTTCATTCAGGCTAGGTGCATTGTCACCCATAGTGGGTCCCATTTTTAAGCACGCACATGTTTGGTTGTGCTTACAAGAATTCATTATTGTTTTTGGTTCATAATATTAAAAACAAAAAGAAAAAATGTGTTTTAGTGCCAATAATTGTAATTTGTAACTCACTTTATCTACTATTTAAAATAGCCGCTTTTAATTTAGGAAAATTCTATTTTGTACATATTTTTTTATCGAATTGACAAGCGATGACAGGCATGATAAAGCAACTAACAGCACGAGAGAGCTCTCGACTTTGACTTAAATTTTTAGTAAATTTTAATAAAAATTTGTGAAATGCATAGTTTAAAAATTACAGAACCTATAAAATTTAAATTTTAATCGGTACCAAACAAGAGACTAATTAAAGGGTGCACAGACCCTGATCAACTTGAGTATATCCCGCGATTAACCTCCACCCATCACTGAGGGGCCGGAAATGAGTGGTCAAGGACATAGTTTGGTGTAAGTTAAGATACCTGGATATCAAAAAAAAAAAAAAATTCCAACATGTTATAGTTTGGCTGTTTTTCAAATCAAACTGTTTTATCAAGAAAGCTACATCCAACAACAAAATCGACGCTGCTCATTTTGTAATGGTTAGATTTCAGTTCATAATCAAATTCTTACACAGTCGGTGTTGCTAACAGCGATAAGAGTCGATAGATCTCATGAAATACGTTGTAAAAAATAGATAAAAGTTACGTATCCAATAAAACTTTTTAACAAACAAATGCTTTATGGATAAGCATATGTTTCATATTAGATGCAATAAGCATTGTCAACAATATATTCGACAAAATGACTGAACCAAAGAATTACATCAGCACAACCACTTCTCCAAAATGCTACCCCTTCCTTAGTCAGTAGCTAGATTCTAGCATCATCGATATATTTTCCAAACTGTAAATGAATTTACATAGATTAAACGCCAGTGGATCCAAACCCACCAGTGCCTCTCACAGTTGAATCAAGATCAGCAACTTCAGTTACTTCAGGAGTTTCAATTTTTTGTATGATCAGTTGAGCAATTCTATCACCAGTTTTCACTTCAAAATCGACATCAGAATGGTTGAACAATATCACCCCAACCGGACCTCTGTAGTCGGCATCAATCACCCCTGCCCCCACATCAATCGAGTGCTTCCATGCCAAACCCGATCGTGGCGCTGCAAAAACGAAATTCAAAAAACAACCCATGAAGCGAATTGAGCACAAAATCAAATTCAGATGGAAAAAATAAAAGGAATATCATGGGAAAAAGTTACCAATACGAGCATAAGTTCCTTCAGGTATGGCAATGCTAAGATCAGTAGGTATCAGGGCTTTGCCTCTCGCCGGAACCTTTGCCTCCGCGGCACTGAAAGATTAAAACAAAAAGACCATAATTCCTTTGATTCTTATAATGCAAAAATGATCTAAAGAAAAGCAAAAATACCTGGAAAGATCGTAGCCTGCAGAGAGAGGGGAGGCTCTAGAAGGCAAAGAAGCCTTGTCGGAGAGTTTCTTGACTCTTAAAAAGGAAGTGATTTCATGGGAAACGCCATTGTTGTGAAGTTTTTGAATTTTTGGTGTGGGTTCTTTGATTTCAGGGATTCCATTTTGGTTTTCCACTGCTTGAGCCATTCTAAAGGCAAGAGAACAGATTTTTTCGAGATGGGTATGTAGATAATTTGCAGATGTAGAAGGATTTCAATTTTAATGGATTGAAGGTGCCATATGGTGAGGCTTAAATAGAGAAAACTTCGCAGGGAAATGGCGCCAAGAAATCCCGCCATTTTTATAGGCATGTTAAACCCTAATTTACTTGTTTGGTAGGAATATTTGGGGGAAAAATTTATTTTGAATAGTGATATGATAGGAAATGTGTGGTTGAAAAAAAAAATTATTAATTGGGATAATTTGCTAGACGAAAAGAAAATATTTTACAGAGAATTGAATTGTTTAGAAATTGTTTTACTGTGAATTGTAATTAATTGTGTTTGATTGATATAATTTTCCACCTAAAAAAATTAAAAGTGTCCATTTGGATTTGTTTTTTATGAAAATTGTCCATTAAAGTGATATTTTTTTCTACCATTGCGTCTAGAATTTGTTCCAATTACCAAATAAAAAAAAATAATTGAAAAAAAAAATTACTATACCGAATACCATTCATTTGACTTTGTCTTGCATGAAAATTGTCAATAAAAACGAAATTTTTTTACCATTGTATCTAGAATTTTTTCCAATTATAAAAAAAAAAAAAAAACTTAAAAACCAATTCCCACCAAAAAGGTGGAAATTGATGGTGGGAATTGGTTTATCTTTATATCAAGGAAAGTGACACGTGAGAGCCACAATCAAAAAAACAAATTGTCTAGAAAAAAAAGCTATCAAATATTCAAAAAGTGGAAGTTGGAATTCCTTTTTCATTTTCCATGAAAAATAATGGTGAATCAAACCTAGTCTTACTAGTAGGCATAATTTGATTTGAATTTGAGCCGTCCTACTTTTATCCTCTACGAATTGTGCATTATCGAAAAGTTAGATACTTTATACAAAAGTAGAAAAAATATGTTGTGTTAAAATAGGACAACATATCTAATCTCTATTAAGAAAAAGAAAAAAAGTAGCATAAGGAATGAGGATTTTTTATTGCACAAAAAAGCTAAATTTTTGAACTTCTAAAATTTCGAAAGCTTTCGAAAAGTATAAGTTAGCTAAACAGAAAGTCAACAGTATTCAAAGAGTCATCGGTGGAGACCAAAGTAGCAACTATATAGCGAATACGAGGAAAAAAAGTACCAAAAATACAAAACGGACTTCGTAGTCTAAGCATAACAATTGTTCTTGAAATTGGAATAACACTCCATTATACTTCTTCAACATTGAATGCGAAGTTATGTTCTTGAAATTGGAATAACACTCCATTATATTGAATGCACATCATTACTTCGCAATGATAATGCAAATAACTTTTTATACACTTCACATTTCATCTATTATTGAGCATAGGACGACTAAACTTGATCCGTGCATGCAAATATGGTACATATTAAAATCCGAGACTGCAATAGAACATCATGTGCCTTTTAACCCCGCGTCAACTGTTTTTATTACTGCCTTTCATGTCTTCCTCAACAATCTTCTTGGTGTAACTTCATTCTTTGATGTACTGTAAAATAGAAAGTGCATAGAAGAAATTTATTATGCAAAGTTGAGTTGATGGTGTAAATTTAATGCCAGACGCGAAGGGTGACAAGTACAAAATTACAATTACAATTACAATTATAATTAACCATTCAAGAATTGTCTGAAAACAGATAATAACTTGCAAATCCATGTCCTTGCTTTTTTGTAATCAATAAAAAATTTTGAACTCAAGAAGCAAACGCATAGACCTTTGACTTCACAAACTTACTACCATTGTTTTTAGGAAATGAATACAGATATACGCACACAAACACATCCACCAGAACAAAGATGATCAAACATAGCAGAATTTGGAAAACAGTTGCACTGCCAAAATTTCGATCATTTTTGTTCTCAAAATTTCATTTATGAAATGAAAGTGCTATAGAATATGAGACTACAGATAGCATTTGTCCGTATGAAATTCAGACAGAATCGGAATTGTGGAAAACATTCAAATCTGAATGTAATTTTTCCCTATGCTCCATATATACAACACGCACAACAACGTCAACATTATTCAACTATTTGGAAAACTTCCCTCTAAATATCGACTGTGTTTCTAATTCCGAAACATATTGAAGACAATTTCACTCTAACCGCTTAATTTATTAAATGAGGTCATTTGACACAGTTTCATAACAGACAACAATGTTATGTTCAACTCCTGCATCCTTCTCATCTATGAAAATTGTTCATGTGTCAGACGCTTAATGTCAAAATGTATCCAGGCCTAAAGAGGGAGGGGGGTGTTGAAGCTCAAACCACTTAAATTTTTAGATGAGAGGATGCTATACCTGGTTGATTGAACAGGAGGTGATTCATATATATCCCTGGACAGGAAGGACATCCTGGCAATCTCCGAAATGGCGGCATCCTGGATGCTGGCAACCTCACTGGTCAAGTCCTGATAAGCTGCCTCAAAAGCTTCCCTCCAAAAACTTTGCAGCCTAATGTTAGAACTGTGACTGTAAACATCCCACATGTGTCTAACCATCTTTTCCCTTTCATCGAGATCCTACAATCAAAAAGTTCAAATTTTAACACATAAAGAGAAAATTAACCATGACACAGTATACACTATACATGACCAATTCCTGCATCCATTGGGGTAATTCTAAGCCGGATAGAGATTAAGCTGTGAATTGAAAGAAGTCCTTCTTAGATGTTAACGGTTTATCTTACTTGTACCAACTTTCTTTTTTTACGAGAAGAAACTGTTATAAATCTACAATTAGGATTGGAGTTTTGAATCTGCAATCTAAGTTATCCTAAAACAAGGATTGCAGTTTTGCCTATAAAAAGATCCCTTTGACACATTTTCTCAAACAACTGAGCTTCAATAGAGACAATATGAGCTTCACTTGAGAGAAGTCTCCACTTTGTGTTCTTTAAGATAATTGCTATTGTTTTCTTTATTGCAAATTCTTTACACCAAGATTTTTACCCCAAATTAAAATGACAGTTTCCCACCTTTTGTTTCGAATATCTCTCAATTTGGGCAACCATATATTTAGGGCTCATCAATCAACAACTCCAAAACAAGATCAAAGTAACCTATAAACACACAAAAAGTAAAATAACACTAAAATATGTACCAGAACGTCAAGATCGCCATGGATGGTTAAGTCCAAGGCATCTGAAGAGTGTTTAAGATTAACAGCAGACCACTTGAGAGTAACAGAGGTAGTGAACATAGACCAAAGTGCAAGCAATATTATTGCACCCAAAACCCAAATCTTGTATCTGCCTCTACCAAACAATCCACCGCAAAATCCCTCTTTCTGGGCAGTAGCATTTGGTGCTGTAGTTTTGGTTTCTTCATCTTTCATTGCTGCTCAGTCTAGTAACAAAAATAATAAGAATAAATTCAAGAAATTTTCAGTTGACAGAGGGATTGCAGAAAGAATGGGAGAATTCAATGGGGTTGTTGGATTGATTAAATACTGTGGGATTTTCGACTTCCAATGAGTGGATAAGACTTTTACAGTGCATGTATTGTGTATGTATAGATTGAATAGCAGCGGTGCACCGACACAATGGGCTCTACTGAGTAGAACTGTAGAAGGAATAATCTGTATCCTCCATTAAAAGCATAGCAAGTGGGCGATGAATAGGCTTCATAAATTGTGGCGGGCCATTTGATAGTGTTTGATCATCGTGCTGCCTACACAAATGTTGATTGACGTTTGAAAAATGCAACGCCAACAGCCCTTAGCCCTTAGATGATTTTAATTAATTGTTCATCTTCAATGTAGGATCTAAGACAACAAATAAATTAATGTTATATCACTACTTTTAGGTAAGCAATACTTGTGAATATCATTAGTCTTTGTCCAATATTGTAAATGTTGAAATTTTGTTTACAAAGACCGTTCAATGATGTTTGATGAAGTCGTTATTGAAATTGAAAAGTTGTTTTTAAATTTATTTGGATAATTATGCACCCGAAAGACTCGTTGTGCCCACATCTAATGGGACGAGAGTTGCTTGCCTCGACGTGGTTGCGGAGCAATTTCAAGGTGGGAACACCTCGTCCCGATTATATATTTATTTTAAAAAATTCTAAAAATGATTAGCCCGCCCAAACGTGAACCCATTGCCCAAGCCCATAAACTATATTCCCAAATTACCCTAAAAAATGAAAAAATATAAACGGACTGTAAAAGGAACAGAGGCCTGCCCTCTCCCCATTGCCAGCCCTAGGTAAGATACCAGTTCGATCTCTTTTTAGTAGCTCAATTTTTCTAAAGTGTGTTTATGAATTCTACGCGTATTCCCATATATGTGTATGCAGTGTTTTAAAATGTTCGTCTAAGCTCAAGGCTCGAAGAAAATGCCATGCCTCATGCTTAAGCAAGAAAATAAACAGTTAATTCTACGTCGACTGCCTAAGGATAGCGTAGGCGAAAAATAGTGTGCCTTTTTTGGGCAAATAGTATTTTTCTTCTTTTAAAATTTATGCTCAACAAATGCTAACCATTGTTAACACTTAAAAATAAAATAAATTCAACAAAAGATCACCATATCCTAAATCTAGCCTTTGAACATAGCTTTCGCTACCCACGAAAAAGATTATTGATTTATAGTATTTATAATTTTGAGAATTATATTTTTATTGAAAACTTAGAAGAATACATGTATTTTTATAAATTTTCAAAATGTGTGTTATTTTGTTTATTTATTGGTATATAATAATTAAAATTAGGAAAACACTTCATTAAATTTAGGTTCGTAAAATTTGAGGTTTGACCTCCCAGCTTTGCTATACCTTACGCCTTTTAGAACCTTGTGGATATGTATGTATCTTGATCTCATGCTCGCAGTAGGAGGGAGTTATAATGTCCACTTTAGGTATGACACATGAAACCACGCTTAGGCGGACACTTTAATTTCTATCCAAATGTGGGCAGGAGATAAAACTAGATATATGTACGTGTATGTGTGTATATATATATATATATACAGAAATGATCTAATGAGCACCGGTGCTTATCTTATCCTAAGCACCGATGAGTTGACATATTAATTCATTGATGGATTGGAATTCACAAAATCTTTATCCACCAATGAATTAATGTGCCAACTCATCGATGTTTAGGATAAGATGAGCACCGGTGCTCATTAGNTATAGGTGGGATTTCAAAGAAGGGTACTTTTTCACACTTAGTTTGTCAAGGACAATAAAAACGCCAAATGAGACTTGGCGTCAACATTAATCTTTGATGATACGCGCCTTGTTGGTTGTAATCGAAAAGAGACCAACTCATTTGAGTTGTTCCGTTTTGTTTATTTCTTAATTAAATGATTAAATTTCTTTTAAAAAGATTTGCTTCAATCTCATTCATCCATAAACACGGAAAGAAAATAGATAAAACAAATTGAAAGTAATGGGGTAGACAGTTGACTTTGCCCATCTAATTACTTTCCGACCAGCACAGCTGCTAGTTGCCATGGCAAGACTCGGCCACTTGCTTAAAGTCTCGACTCTTCTATCCTCATCAAATAACGTGAAATTACTAATCCTCTCTTCAATGGGTAAGCACTAACAAAATTTGGAACCTGTTTCATATGTTCAAATGGCAAACACGATTTAAGGTTTAAATTCTTATATGCAATTTTACCCTTTATTATAAATAATATCATTTTTAATGTATGATTTAGGAAACTATAGTAGAGCTCAATTACACTTAGAATGTTGTGTAAAGGAATACTTTTTGGATATGCTAGACAAGTTCAACAATGTTTTGAACTAAAATGTTAAATTGTTTTGAGTTCATAAGAACTATTTTATTGTAATTTTGGATTGAAGAATGAAATCTTGTGTATATTTAATAAGCATGATGATCAAAGAAAGAATGCAGAATAATCCAATCGTCAGATTATAGAATAGAAATCACGATCATATATCAAATCAATCATAAACCATTTGGATCATATAAGCAATGTAAACAATACACGACAATACATTACCAATCCAATACAATATCTCTATTGAATTAGAATTTAGAACCACGATCATGAATCTCTCCCACCCGCCACCCTCAAAGGCACCCCAAGTCAAATCCTGCAGTCCCAAGGCCAAAAGGCACTCTAGTCAAATAAAGTGAAGAAACCCCGAGTACAATGTACCATAAGGGTTATCAGCTTCGGCAGGATAGCATTAGAGGATAAAAAGTCCAACAGACGAGAATCATCAGGACTCAACCCTGTTGTAGTTCAGCATCAGATGCCTGCAGAACTTCCTGTAGGAATCCTTGCAAGAAGACATGTTTGGCTAAGCTTAAAAGTTACTTTAAAGCAACACTTTTTGAAAGTATTTAAGCTTAGTTATACGTCTACATTTGTTTGGCTAACAGAAACTGGAGAAGTTATGCCATCTTCAAAATACTTGACATGACAGAGGTTTCCACCTGCTTCATCCGCAAACACTATCTTTTTCCTCTCCCTCTTAACTACATTCTCGGGTGCAGTGACACTATTCTGACTCAATTTCTGCAGTTAAGAGTGTGATGCGTCAAATTTTACTTATTTAGTTATAGATAAGCTTATAAGTATACTTCACAACATATATAAACTAGAGAACACATACCATTATTTTACAAAAGCGGTTGCAGTCCCTATTCATCATGGATAACCACTTTTTTGCTGTTTCTTCAACTTTGGTTGAGTTGTCAATGGCTGCTTTAACCTTCAAGATGAAATGGCATTATCGCATAAGTAGAAGTAGAAACATATCTAGGGCAGAGCTGGAGCTTCCAACCAAATCTAGTACATCCATAAACTCAAACATAACCACAGGTTAATTCCAATTCCTTCAAGGAATGAGAGCAAATGATGATGAAACTTTGGAATGAATGTAGAGAGAACGTTCTAATATTAAAATCTTCTAAAATAAATAAAAGTTGCCTCAACTGAGATAATGTAAGCCAGACTTCCAAAAAAGAAAAACAATGCAAGTGCAGAGACTTTAAAAGTCCAAATTGAGATGCATAGTTATCAGTTTTTCCATGGATGTACTTCAACCAGGGGCGTTTTACATTTACACATTGGCAAGTGCACAGACAAATTGCATCTAGTTACATCTTTTACTGCTAGAAGAACTATTGTGAAGTAACCTGCTTAAAACCTTTTCCCGTATACCTGGTTAAGTATCAGCTATGTTTCTTGTTTCATCTCTGATTGGACTATTAAATAAAAACACTGAAATTTGATTAATGCCGATTACTAACGGATGCAAAGGATTCAGATGTGGAACAAGGTATGAAAACTGAACGTGGTAGCAAAGAGTAAGTTTTATGCTTAAAACAATACAATTTGGATCTCTGAGAAAACATGTTCATTACGCATACCTCTTCAGCATCATTTTTCAAAGAAGTGTTACGATATGCTTCAAAAAGTAATTTTTCTTCCACAATGTCCTTCACGAACTTCAACTCATTCATCAGTTTCATTGCAAGAGACTCAATGTCATGCATCTGCCGCTGTGAAAATGCAATAGCACTTTCTGAACAACCTTTAGTTGAGCAACCAGTGCTAAAGTTGGGTAAGGTACGAGAAAAACGAGGGCCCTCGAGATTTCCTTTAGGTAAGGAAGCTTTGAAATTTTGTGATTTCTTCAGAATCTGTCTGGGGTTTATGAAGACTTTTCTCTGACTACGCACCACAGGTTCTCCTATACTTTCAGTTATTTTAGAATGCTCAATATCTGATCTCCCAGATAAAACATTCTCATTTTGTTTCTCTATCCAAAGCTTCCCCTTGCATTCTGGAAAATTGCAAACGAAAGGACCACCATCAAAGATAATTTGAAACAATTAAAGAAACCAACTGATAAAATGATTTGAAAATTCAATGTAAAGAAATTAAGATGGAAACCGATTTCCAAAGCCTCTCATGACATAGTGCTTATTTTTTTTCTTGTCAAGTTACACCCTCAAGATGATAGCTAAGCATGTAACTATCATGTGAAGTAAATACCCCTCAGAGGCATGTAGGGATGAAGGATTTACTTTTAAAAGAGAAAGAAAAGTTAAAAGTAGTGTGAATATGATTTTAATGTGATCTCAAAACAAATCCCTCAAACACCACAGAGCTCATATATCAAGAATATACAGAACTTTTTAGTGCCCAGCACCAACATTAGTAGATAGATCTATCTACATTAACCTTTAGCAAGCCCTTTTTCCTTCTTATGTAGGTGAAGAAATATTGTGCTTGCTTTCGTTTATAGTTCTATAAAACAGATGCACCTCTAAGTAATGCCGAGCAACAAAACGATCCTTCACATAATATCTGCATGGACAGTAAATTTACATGTGGTCATTTAGACCAGTTGAGATATTAACTTACCGCATTGGTCAACTTCGTCATGTAATTCAACTGAATTCATATTCAAGCACAATTGTTCTTGAGAATATGGAGAAATGGCCTGCAGAGGTTGAACATCAAATATGAAATTGTTACAATAATCACTGTAAAACTCAACGTTGTGCAGAAAACAATATCTGACCTTTCGAGTTGAAAGGAGCCTTTGAGGAGGTTGATAGAGATCTAGTATTGGAAGTGTATTAGCGATATCACAACCTTGGTAGTCAAGGGAGGGTTTTCTTTCTTTATAGGTGCCTGGAGATGCTGGAGTTTGCCTCTCCTTGCTCTTTGATAACTCATCCTCCAATTGATCTCCAGAGTTCAAGCCATTCCTTGCCACGGCATCAAAAGTAAATTTCAAAGACTCTCCATCAGCCATGGTATTTTTCAAGGGCGCTGAATTGTCATTGATCTCCAAGGAAATACTTGCATCCACTGAAGAGATACAGCTCTTGTCTGGGCTAGTCAAGGAACCATTTTTTTCATAAAGCAAATCTTCCTTAGTGTTATCAACAGACGTGTAAAAATTAACTTCATTGCAAGGTTCGGTGCAGCCAATGTTATTGTCAACAGCAGGTTTAGGAACTTGACCACTGGAATCTCCCCTGGTTTGCTCTGATATCTCCTCCATTTTGGAAGAACTTTTGGTGCAACGCACATATGAACCATGGATCTTAGCAGGTGAACTGCTAGAAAGTACTCTCAGATTATCCTTTTCTGTCTCAATTATTGAAGGAGGCGAAACAAGAAATTCATGGCAATCCATTTCCTGATATTCTACCTTCACAGTCCTTCCATTACTTGGAAGAAGCATAGAGATAGGCTTAACATGCTCCAAATGGTCATAGGAAACTTCATTTGTTACACAGTTTTGGCATTCCTCTGCAAAAAACAATGCTTCTCTATTTTCACACTCCATTGAAATTCCATTTGATGCTATATCACCAATCTTGGATTCCTCATTGAGGTCGGTGGATGAATCATCAGCAAAACAAGTTGGTGTTTGACACCCTTGCAGCTCAGGTTCAGGAACCTCAGCTTTAACTCGGATAACTGGTGGTAATTTAGAATCAACTTGCATGGAACCTTCAGAAAGCTGATTCTGTTCAGATTTAATTGATGAGGAAGCCTCCAAAGATGTTACCACATTTTTGTTTGTGCATTTCCTCTTAACCTTTGAGTTCTTTGCAAGCTTGGATTTCCAAATAATAAGTGGTTCGTCAATATCAGATTCATCTTCAGTCCGTTTTCCGTTTGCATCAGCCTGCTCTGGATCCACGCCAGTAGAACTTCCAAGCTTCCTTTTCTTTGTTTTAGACCTTTCCATAAGCTGTTTCAATGTACTGTTGTGATCCAAATCACTGTGTATGTCATCATCATTCCCACGGGGAACATACTCATCGAATTCAAGTTTGACTTCCTTCAATGTTATTGTTTTAGACCTTTCTCTAAGCTGTTTCAATGTAGTATTGTCGTCCAAATCCCAGTCTATGTCGTCATCATCGCCACAGAGAACAAACTCATCAAATGCTAGTTTGACTTCCTTCAATGTTCTTTCTACAAGTGGAAAACACAGAGTTTCACTTATCACTTGATCGTAGTTAAAAACTGAACCTGCACTCAATATATCCTTGTCACTTGTAGAAGGTCTCCCTAGTCTTTTGGCATCTTCACTTTCATATACATCCTTTAAAGTCCTGAATGAAAGAGGCGGCTTTCCACGGGAATCTATATTGTGGACTTTTAACACCAAACCACCCCTTATAGCTTGAAAATAATGGGTATTACCACAGTTTCTTCGCTCCATTACTTAAAAAAATTAAAGAAGTGTTTCCTCTGACTATCTCGTGGATTTGCACCCGCAGAAAAAATTATAGCCCAACGGTGGTAATTTAAAAGGGTGTGCCTCCAAATCTGATCATGAATCAAACCAAAAGTTAGCCTTGTTCTGACCGGATAAAACCAGAGAAACTTAAGTTTACATTCTTCGATCACAGGAATAAGCTTAATATTAATGCCCTCAGAAAATTGAAGCAAGCGCACAATTTATTATCCTTGAGGTGAAAGTTACACCGTATAGCCAAACAATTTACTAATCCTACACTTTATTGCAAAAGTTTTAGTCACTCCCACATTTATCCAGTCATGAAATGTATAACATGTACGAAACACTCTTTTCTTCATTAAAAAGTAAACAAAAGATTTAAACATCACCCTCAAGGACTCCAATGTGCGTGCTCCATAACAAAGCATTCTGATTAACAGAATAAGGTAGCTACAGAAAGAAATATGCAGAAATCTAGGAAAGGTGCAGCAAAATATATGGAATTATTCTCTTCGTTTCTTCCAAATCCTAATTTCATCTGAAATTTTAATAAATTTTTCGATTACCTACCTTATCCACAGACGAATCAAAACGAAGGCAAATAAACAATCATCCAATTAGTCAGTATAACTAAAACCCATATGAGTAGATTTGGAATGAAATGCAGAATAAAAGCTAGAAAACAGATCTTTGAATGTAGAATACAAATCTGAAGCTCACCTTATTCGAAAATCTCGCTTTCAGAGAGAGAGAGAGAGAGATGAGATGAGGATTAGGGGAACTTGTATAATGTAAAAAATCTAGCGCCAAATCATATGGCGGGAAGGGTAATGTATTTTGAATCTGTTCAATTCACCCTCTAATTTTTGGGTTAAAAAGAGAATTTTTTGGCACTACTCACTAGTCTCCAACCAATGAATCCTATTGCAATTTTGTCCCTAACTTATTTTGTTCAGACAACGTTTGGTGGGGATAAAAATCAATATTTTAATCTAAATTAAAGTCAATAATTAATTTCAACTATATATTTTATGAAATTCATAACTTTTAATTCACATATTTTATCATTTTATTAAACTATACTAAAAGTTTAATTTTAATCCTCACCAAACAATAACTTAGGGCTCGTTTGATTCTCATTATTGTAGAATAAAAATGAAAAATATAACCGTTATTGAGCCCCACACAAGATATAGAAATTCAAAATTAATAATTTGATGTGATAGATAACAGTCATATTTTTCATTTTTATAGATGAAAAATAAGAAACAAACAGGGGGCTTAGATGAGTTTTGCTCGACCTAAAGCCGCTTTGGCTCTACGTGAAAAGTTAAGTCTTGACATGGACATTGTTCTTAGGGTTATCAGCACAAAACAACCTTATATTTGAAGATTATTGTGCAAAACGTTTTCACCTTTCATTTTTTTTTTTCTGTATTTTCACTTTTTATTGCGGAAATAATCATTTTCATCAATTTTCTCGGTAAAAATGTATGAAATGATAAATGTACTCTCATATTTAAATAAAATAAAAAATTAATTGCAATCATAGTCCCAAATTTCTCAAAAAAAACAAATAAATTACAAATAAATAAATAAAAATCAAAACAAAAATCACTTCATCTTCTTAGACATATGTGATTTCACTCCGCCCATAGTTTGAAGTTTTTTTATTTTAAGGGCGTGTCTGGAAGTGATTTTTATCAATCCAAAATCAATTTTTGGGTTAAATCACAATGGCCCACTGACACCAAGATCTGTTGCACGGTTTGTAGAAAATAGGCTAGAAATGACCATGTTGTCCTTCATGTGCAAAGTTAACAACCTTGTTCCAACCTGTGAAGAGGGTATATTGGGAATTTGGAGTGTTATGGCATGACTTTGGTCCAGCAAAGTTGTCAGTTTTGTTCAATTAAAAATTCATTAACGGGCCGATTTTTGCTGTTTAACGGTCAAATTTTTGCTTGACCATGCGCCCAGACACGCCCTAAATTCCCAGTGCTCGGAGCAGACAAATTCTGCTCTTACTCTGTAAAATTTTGAATCTAATTTTTCAGTTTTCTTTTATTGCATTTGAGTGTTGTTATTCTCTCTCTCTCTCTTCATTTGCAGCATATCAATGAACACACTGTCCCTAAACAACATTTATCATCTGAAATCATTAACCTCATGCAGTTTTAGAACCACCAATGTTCGCTTTACTATTTTTTTTTACATTTTTCTGTCTTTATTTTATTTAAAAATTATATTGCTAATTCTCGCTAGTTTGTTTTTTTGTTCACCCTTTGAAATGGTTAAAGATCATTCAAAGTGTTAACAATTAATAAAGGCTATCAGTGGAGATATCTGATTACAAATTTACAATCCTTGTTTTGGTTGTCTAACCTTCTTTCCATTGAAATGCTCACGAATGGGTTTCAAATTTCCATAAAGAATTTGTCTGGCATTCTTTCTCCAAGCATTTGGAACTTAAAAAATAATCAAATTATGGGTGGAGTGGGATGTTGTTTGAAATCACATATGGGTGTGATGAGATGGGGGAAGAAGTGATTTTTATTTTTTTAGTTTCGATTTTTAATTATTTATTCAGAATTCTTTTGTAATTTTTTGAAAAATATGGGACTACTGGTTGTAATTAGTTTTTCATTTTTTTTCTTTTCTTTTTATTTAAATGGGAGTGTAAATTTGCCATTTCACACGTTTTTAGTGAGAAAATGGATGAAAATAATGATTTCCGCAATAAAATGTGTAAATAGGGGTGAAAATGCAAAACAAAAATACAAAAAATGAAAGATGGTGACATTTTACACGATAATCTTCAAATATATGGACGTTTTGTGCCGATAACCCATTGTTCATGTCTGAAACATCAAAAGAACAAACCATTTTGGTGAAGTATAAAATTCAAATTGTTTTTTAATTCTTTGCGATCAAATTATTGCTCTCAAACGTTTTATTTTTGTAGCATGTGAACCTTGTCCATCTATCTATATGTATGTTGACATCAAAAAAGTGTAGCCCAAATTGGATAGTCCAAGGAATGAAGTCCAATTGAGAAATCCAGGACGAAGGCCCAACTGGACCATTAATGAATGCAGTGGAGGCCTACGAACAAAGTAACATCATCGCCCAAACTTGCACGACGCCCAAAATTTGAGCGAATTGAGTGTCTTACAGTCGTCCAGAGCGATGATCTCGTTCTTGCCCAAACCATCGAGTCGCCCAGGAACTGTACGAATTTAAGGTCTTATGGTTATCCAATATAGCAGTTATTGAAACGGTTATTGAGCAATCTTATCACACCTCACGATCCAAGAATCTAGGTTGCGGCAGTTAAACGACAAGAGTAATGGCAACATTTAAAGACGGCAGTTTTATGACAAGTCAGCCATCATGAAAAAAGTGGGTAGTTATAGAGTATCAAACAGTTTTCAAGTAGTTTTTCACAAAGAAACTATCAATTGAGTATAAAAAGGAAAAGAAGATATAGAAGAAAGGACCCCGAATCAAATACTCTCAACAGAGAATATGTAATTTCAATTTCTTAACTTAACTTTAAAACACTTCTTTTTAGTACTCGTGTGCTTGTGCTCCTTGGAGGCATTCTGTTTATTTCCAATTGTAACTTTCATCAATAAAGCACACTTTTTTGGGACTTTATCTCAAGATATTTGTTCATTACACAATCGTCTGATCCTTTTTTTAATTGTTAGCGATAACCCGCGAGAAACAATGTCAAAATGTTATGCGATGCTAGTACAACTAAGTTTTTCTTTGTCTCTTTTTAAAACAAAACCCTTTAAATTTCATACTCATTTTCAACCACACATTCACATAATAAAATATGTGTGCTTAAACCAAAAAAATTTTCTCTACTTTTTAACCTTTCAATCAACAAAAAAATCACTATTTAAAATATCATTTTTCTCAATAATGATCATCAAACAGTGGTTAAATTTGTATTGTAATATGGTAAGTTGTGGATTTTAAATTTTGAAAAAAAAATAATAAAAGAGAAAAGGGGAAGAAATAAGAATGAGACTACCCCAAAAAAAAAAAAAATTGGTTGGGAATGAGTAGTGGCATTCTCACCGATGAGCAAAAGGGGCTCCCTATTTTTCCTCTTTATTTTTAGGGATAATTACAGCAAAAGTTACAAACCTTAGAAACATTAGCAGACTTTTCCCAAACATTTGATTTGTTGTAGCTGTTACCCCTAACATTTTTCAAACGTTGCAGGTAAGGCCCTTTTGGATGGTTTCCGTCCATAATTCCGTCAATTGACCACTTTGACCACATTTTTAATATTTTAAGAGGGGGCAAAAGAGTAACGTTCCATTTATCACATTAAATATTTAAATAAGAAATAAACAAAAAAAACACACCCACCCACCAATGTATTCTTCCTCTACCACCGCGACATCCACCTCCACCTACCGCAACCGCAAACTCAAACCTATAATCGACGCGTTATCTTCCGACTTCTCTAACCCAAATTCCAATTCCACCCCTTCATTCGACTTCAGTCCTGCCTCTTCATTCGAGACTCCATCATTCAGCACCGTCGCCCCCTTCATCCCCCTTTGGTGGTTCCTCTCTGTTTGGATCCTTTTCTAATTCCGCACCCACTACTAACCTATTTATCTCCTTAGCATCCGGTTCCGGGCCCATATCCTCATCCTTCGATGCGGATGCTATTTCAAACACTTTTGGATCATCTTCTTCAAGTTCGAGCTCAGATCTAAATTTATTTGGATATTCTTCTAGTGCGACTTCTACTACGCCTAGTCCGTTTGGAACATCCTCTAGTGGTTCTGGTCAAACCACGAGCCTTGTTAGATCTTATCTTCTGGTGCAAATCCTTCTTTAGGCCTCGTTTGGTCATGTTCTTTAGCTGGGACGTTAGCTCCTGCTACTTCTTCATCCCAGTTTAGCACATTCACCCAATTGGAGTCCCCTGCTCAGGGCTCTTCAAGCTTATT